CAGTCCCCAGATCATACACTAGAATATAAGTTCCCTAACAGCACAGAGTGACTGATTCACTTGCTGTATCTCTGGAAAGCAGAATAGCACCAGGTATATAGTAAGTGTTAAACAATAGAATGTTCAACACATGACTCCAAGCATAACAATTTGGACAACTTTTATTATCCCAGATCCTTCCATTAATTTACAATCAATTCCCATTTCTCTTGGGAACAGTGCTTAGTTTGCCCTGAAAGTTTCTTTAAGTCTGTTTTTATTGTATCACCACCATCACCATAGCCGCTTCATGTCTGGACTATCATAGTAAAATCTGAGACACTGTCTCCTTTCTCTGGTTCTCTTCTAATTTATATCCAAGTAACATGTCACAGTCCACTATTGCCAAACTCTTTACTCTGGCATTTAATTCTTTAGAGTCCAAATCCAAGCTTCCTCTCTGGTCTTGTTTTCTGACTTCTCAAAGGGAACCTTTCTTTTTAACTAAAATGATGTAATTATGCTTCTTTACTTTGCGCTCCCGGATAGAATCTATTTCTTCAAAGTAAAATGTTCCTCCCTATTATATTATTTTCCTATCGAATCCTACCCATTCCTCAAGACTTGACTCAAGTAAGATTTTCAGTGAAACATAATACTTGGCCACTCTAATCTGCCATGAGTCATCATTGACTCATTCCCAGGGATATCAAATGATACCTCCTTGGCGCTCTCATGACAGGCATTATCTATAATGCCCGACACTTACTATGTATATTTCTTTGAACATATATGTTTTGCAAATGTATTGTACATATGGGTAAATGAAGAGGTCAAGTTAGGCAAACCTGGAATCAAAGTTTCTCTCTATGACATAGTAATAATGTACTGTTAGGCAGTGTACTACCTCTCTCTGGGTCTCTGTTTCTTTATATGTAAAAAAAAAAAAAAAAAAAAGTACCTACCTTATAGGTTTTAGATAATTAAAATCAACTGCTTTTTTTTTTTTTTTTTTTTTTTGAGATGGAATCAAGCTCTGTTGCCCAGGCTGGAGTGTTGTGGCACAATCTCTATTTACTGCAAACTTTGCCTTCCAGGTTCAAGAGATTCTCCTGCCGTAGCCTCCCAAGTAGCTGAGATTACAGGAGCTAATTTTCATATTTTTAATAGAGACAGGGTTTCACCATGTTGGCCAGGCTGATCTCGAACTCCTGACATCAGGTGATCCACCCCCCTTTGGCTTCCCAAAGTGCTGGGATTATAGGTGTAAGCCACTGCATCTGGCCTCAACTACATATTTTAAAAAGCTCTTAGCAAAATGTCTGGAATACTCAACAATATTGGCATCTTTTTCCCAGAGCCCTTTCCTGTGGTTGAAGCTACTGTTTTTTCTTGTATATTTCAGCAGAGCAAAACATTTATTTATTCATTGGTGAATTGATAAAGATTAATATTGGATATCAATATAGACTTTCCACTGAAGGGTTTTGGGAGCAAAAATTTTCTACTCTTTCTGGACCGCAGTAGACACTCTTCTCTTTGCTAAAAGAAAGGTACTGTCAGGGGGAGTATATAAAAAGAGACAAAAGGTAGATACCATATTAGAGTCCTATCTTAATTACTTACTATATCTTTGATAACATGTGTTATAAGAGAATATAGTTTTATTATTAAAACTGTATTGAGAAATAGAATATGTTGCAGAGCAATTTCACTGTGTAATCTTAGACAAGTGGCTTAGCCTCTCCAAGACTATCTTCCCTGTTTAACAATGAGATTAGAGCAGGTGGCCCCTAATGTCCCCTTGGAATGCTACAAGGATACTGTTACTTGGCTGTGCAATACCAAGATTGCATTATCTCCTTTATCTTTCATCTATGTAGCAGCCCTAAGAAATATTCTTTCTCTAAGTAATGAATAATTATAAGACTCATTTCAGATTACAGAGTAATAATTCTAACAATTATAAAATATTAGGTTGTAATTCAATTATTAAGCCCCAGCATTTTCACATTAACTCTGAAAAAAAGTGTGATGTCTTATAACAGTATGTGATAACAATACTTAGTTTTACTTTACGTGGAAAAAGGCAGATTATTACACAGAGGTTGAGCAACTCACTCAAAATTAACTACTGGCCTATTGGCCAAAATAAAGATAGCCATGGGCTTTCTAGTTTCTACTTCTTAATTTTACTAAACACAACACATGTCTTTGAAGCATTAGAATTAGAATTATATTTTAATATGGTAATTGTCAAATATGGCAAAGTTCAAATAAGATACTATTGCTTGTTTTTCACCATACAAAAAAACGATTTGCTATTAGGTCTCATGCATGCCCTGACTTGACAGGTGACATTGTGTTTAAAATGCACATATTTCTAGAAAATCAACAGCCATGCTCTAGGTGACACAGATGTGAGGGCATGTCTATACTTGCTTTTTGACACAGATCTGTTGGAGTGAGTGTGTAACACTAAATTGATATTTTTTTCCCATCAACTTTATTTCAGCATTCTCTTTAAGAACCGATAAAAGGCCAGTTTAAGGTCATTGTGTGGTTGTGGCTGTGGCTGTGTCTGTTCACTCAATGTCCCCTGGGGTGGGAGCTGCACACAGTCTTCAGCAGCAGCCTGTGTCCTCGGGCTTCAGGAAGAGACTGTTGAACAAGTTGCATGAGATATGTGGGCCTTCAGGCCAATCTGCAACCCCAGGTTTGGCAGCAGTGGATTTGGGAGCTGGATGGTTAATTTCCTCTGAAACCCAGGTCACTATCTTTTCAGCAGAGATTGGGTCTTTCCCACCTCATCTGTATCTGCGTTGAAGGAGAGTCTAGGTATGGCTTTCCATGGGAGTTTGTGGAAGATATACTTTGCTCATGCAGAACTTCCTGGGTCAGTATTCCTCCCATTGCAGACACACTGGGGGCTCCTTTACACAAGATTTCAGTGTCCGTATACCACAGTCACATAGTGGACCACCTGTGTGCCACAGAACCACAGGTTCACAGAAGATGCCCCTGTGAGAGGCCGGTGATCAATCCTGGGATTGATAGCCACCAAAACTGAGGCTTATTGAGAGCTATTTGGATCTGGTTCAGCAGCGTTCAGGATTTAATTACTCAGCAATGGATGAGTCTCTGATGGCAACAGCAACCTCAGCATAGCACCTTGGCTGGCATTCTTGGAGGACAAGTCATGTCATCAGTTCTGTTTTCAACGACAACAAAGGTCTAAGCTGCCATAAGAAGCATCTCCCAGCTTCTTTGAGTGGTCTGAGGCTTTCTTCTATAGATACACGCTTTCATCTAAAAGTCAGGCCAGGTACCAACCAAGTGGCTTCTGCAGCAAGGAACTGGAGGACAATCTCCTTCTTCATCTGCAGGATGAGGGCTCTGGACCCTGTGATGGTTTCCCTTTAAGTTCATTCAGGAATCAAGGACCACACCATATGAGCCCTTCAGGCAGTGTGGAAAGGCTTTGATTTGTTTTTATTCACTGAACTTGTACAATGCTGCCAGCAGGTTTGAGTGAAACCTGAGACTCTTACTGAGGCAGAGGATCAGACAAATCGATTTGACCTTGGACCATGCACCCTTAGCCTTAATGGTGGAAATTGGTGATTAGAGACTAGAAACACTCTCACGTTCATAAGACCCTATCAGGATTTAACCATATTTTAGAACCAACAAGAAAAATGTTTAATAGATAAGAATTCTTCCTTTGTCCTTAGGGATCCTTGGACCAGAATGCAGAAAGGAGGGCACCATTCTGTGATTTTTCTCTGCAACGGGGGATCAGATCATTCAATTGCCTGAGGAAACAATAACTTGGCAAACTCTCTCTCCTGTCTTTCCATGTGCTAGGCAAGCGATGAAAGAGGAGTGCGGCTGACTTCAGCTTTGTCACAGATGTTGACCCACCACTGGTCTGCCCTCTCTCTCCCTTGCCACCCTCTTCCTTCTGCCAAAGTTAGCATGCTGGATCAGTAGGATGCAAAGCTGCGCATGACCCTTTTTGGGGCTGGACACTGTCATCTGGCCAGATAAACTAACAGGCTAGCAAATCCAGCTGGGGCTGGTTGTACTTTGCCCACGTCTGTTGCAGCATATGGTGTGTTCACTTGAAGTGACTGACAGAGCTATTTAACTTTGCAGTTTGTTTGTCTGATGCCCCTACCCAAATACCATGCATACTGTCACATACTGGTGAACAGTCTTCAGTGTGGTTACAATTCATGGCTATCATAAGGGGAATACTTTAAAATTGGTTTTGAACTCCATAGTTCCCAAGATGGCAGAGCTGGATGGAAACATTTGGAGACATACCCTTTAATTGGCCCCATAATTGTATCCAGAAAGAAATTGAAGCAGAAAGATTAAGCGACTCCCGCAAGGACTCACGCAGCCAGTTAGTATTAGGACTAGAGCTAGAACCTTCGACCCTAACTTTCAACTCAGTCCTTTCTCCAGCTCAGGCTGTTCACATGTTTCCTTTCCTTTTATCTTCAAAATGTGGCCCCTTGGAACTTTCCTGGAATTGGACTTCTGAGCCTAAAGTGGCTTACTGCACACATTTGGGAAAGGATAGCCATGAGGCCTCTAAGTGGTTTTGATCAAGTTTGCCAATATTTACACCCTAGGATGATCTGCATAAACTTCATAAATAATACAAATTCCTACAAAGTGAGTTAACCGTGAGCTGCACGGTCTTTTGAAAAATCCATGTTATGCAATCACCCTGGCAAAGTTAACAACGCAATAGAGTACTGAAGGTAACCACTGATTGCAGTCACTGCTATTGACCATTTTAAGTGTGACTATTTTTAAAATACTGTATGCCTCATTAAGCTGTGCTCTGAAAATGAGGAATTTGCTTTAACTGCATTGTTTTGAATTGCTGAGAGAAGAATCTATCAACCACAAGGTGCCCTGCTGCTGAACTCAGCCAAAAAGCTGTTAATAACTCCAGCAGATGTTTCAGCTTTTTAGGCCAATAGACTCCCTCTCTCCCTGCCCTCCCCTTTCCAGAATCCGATGCCAATATGACTGAACTCCAGTTTTTGCGGTTGTCGCCACCGCCGCCGCTGCTAGGGCTGGTGATACAATGCCGCTGAGGAATGATCCTTTAAACAACCACTGGCAACAGAACCTCAGCCCTTTAAGGTCAGAATATTATTGCTTTTATCATCAGAAGTTTAAATCTTCAGGGGGGAAATGAAGGTAAGGGCACAAAAATCAGTATTTTTGTTTTGTTGTCTGCCTTCATTGCTAGTCATTATGTTTCGCTTTTTGTGGCGTCTCCCAATGCTTAAAGTCCATTTCTCAGACTCATCAGAGTGCTGGGCTTGCTAAGGTTGAGGGTCATTAATACACTGGAGGCCCTACTAATCTGGGAGAGGCGTTCTTGGGTTAGCAGCTTTGCAAAGGGTGCCTCTGCGTGATGCACTTTTGTGTGGTTGTATGCCTGATGTGTGGCTCAGATGTCCTGACCTTAGCCATTCTACAATATCAGATGTGTGTTTTATAAATATAGCTGCCTCCCTGTGTGATAGGTAAAGTATGAGGGCACACAGGGTCACCGCAGTCCCATACCAGGATTTATCAACAGCTCTGAACTGGGATAAACCTGACATTGTCACCTGAAATTAAATCTACATTCCAAGGCTTTCCAAATGAGAAGACATTAGAAATAAAGGGGGAGGAGAGATCCTGTCCCCTTCCCCGACACTCCCTGCACTGCCTCCTACTCAATTATTTTGGAGAAAGTGCTTTAACACACCCTGGTGACAACAGGGTCACCAAGAAAACACAGGTGCACCACATTACGAAATGCTATATTGGCTAGGAACACATCTGAACAGCACATCTATACACATCATCATGCAGAGAATTGCCATACAAAGGGGGAAAAGTTGAGAGGCAGAATTAAGTTCATAAATATTTTGTTTCCTTATTTTGATGCAACACAAAGCCAGAATATCCACGACTCTGCAGACCTCTATTGTCAGCTTCAACATTGCCAACCATAGTAATTCAACCCCCAAATCTCTGCTGTATGCCATACTGGCTGTAAAAAGTAAGTGCCTTTTCCCTGGTGTCACCGCCACCATACTGTTTGCATGCCTTCAGTCCTGTGTAACTCTAATTCTCAGGAAAAGCTCAGGAATACAATGCTAGCTCTCCTCGCCAGACCCCCACCCCCATCACTTTTTTTTTAACCTGGATAAAGAAATAGATTATATTGTGACTTGGTCCACATTCTCTTAAGTACATATGCATAGCACTCATTAATGCTAATGGAATTTGCACATATGCATTGAAGGGAAAATATACTTGCCCATGCCTGGGTATTCTTTCTTTTCTTACTGTACACTTGAGAATTCTGTGGCATCTATAGCTTCTAATTCTGAAACATGACTAACTCAGATTAAAAATTATACCATTCATTTTGAAATACAGTGTTCCCACTAGCAAATGGGATGGGTATTTCTGCTTAGATTACTATGATTCCAAGAAGCCAATACCAGATGATGACTCTTCAGTAAAATAACCAATGTTGTAACAATAAAATAGGGTTAAAAGGGCGGGCACAGTGGCTCACGCCTGCAATCCCAGCACTTTGGGAGGCTGAGGTGGGCAGATCACGAGGTCAAGAGATCGAGACCATCCTGGCCAACATGGTGAAACCCTGTCTCTACTAAAAATACAAAAAAATTAGCCAGGTGTGGTGGCACGTGCCTGTGGTCCAGCTACTCCGGAGGCTGATGCGGAAGAATCACTTGAACCCAGGAGGCGGAGGTTGCAGTGAGCCGAGATTGCGCCACTACACTCCAGCCTGGTGACAGAGCAAGACTCCATCTCAAAAAAATAAATAAATAAATAAAATAGGGTTAAAAATAAAAACAGCAAAAACTCTCTACTGAATCAGTAGAAAATATATTCTCATTATTTAAACAGTATCTATTAAATAACCTATATGCATCTCCAGAGGAGTGAAAACACAAGATGGGCGGGGGGGGGAAGAACTGAAAATAAGCATGGGTAATCTGAGACTCCAGGCCTGCCAGCAGTGAGTATTGGCAAGAGGCATGTGGGGATATCTGAGGCCCAACTAAATCCAGACCATGTACTTCATTAAGTCTTGAACTTTACCTGGAATCTGGCACTGCAAATGATGATTTCCAAACTGTTTTGTTCTTGATTATTTCCAGTCCAAGTAAAATGGACAATAAAGAAAAGATGCTTCCATACTGTTTCCATGATGGATGTTCACAACCAAAATAACTTCACCATCTGATGTATTTCACAGTTTTAAGTTAAAACAGACATACTATAATATGCTTGTACATCTGGCTCAGGTGCTTCATTTGCCATATGTTTGTGAAATAATCCAAGGAGATGTTACAATTGTACATTCCCCTTGGGACTTGAAGAAAATGTGCCCACAAAGAGTTATCTAATTATTCATTCCTGCCAACAACATCCTCTCCTAATAAGAAGGAGAGGCAACTTAAAACGAGACAATAGCGCTTTCAGTCTTGAGAGATGTCAGTGCCACTTATGGTTTCAAAAACAAAGTCTTATGCATTTTTTAAAATAAGAAAAAGATCTTTGGCCTTTAAAGCAAATAAAATACCCTGCAGGTGGTATATTTGGTATTCTTATGTGGGCAAATTCTGTAGCACTGATCAAGGCGTATTGTTTCCTGAAACTCATTGAATTAAAGCCCATGAAGCCACATAGAAATTAGTGACCCAGAAGTTGACAGTCTCTAATAAATGGCTGCTCTGGCAACACTAGACATTTATAGAGAACTTTGTAATCGGTAAATTGCTTTCATATATGTTACCACATTTAATTCTTTTTTTTTTTTTTTTTTTTTGAGACGGGGTTTCACTCATGTTACCCAGGCTGGAGTGCAATGGCACGATCTCGGCTCACCGCAACCTCCGCCTCCTGGGTTCAGGCAATTCTCCTGCCTCAGCCTCCTGAGTAGCTGGGATTACAGGCACGCACCACCATGCCCAGCTAATTTTTTGTATTTTTAGTAGAGATGGGGTTTCACCATGTTGACCAGGATGGTCTCGATCTCTTGACCTCGTGATCTACCCGCCTCGGCCTCCCAAAGTGCTGGGATTACAGGCGTGAGCCACCGCGCCCGGCCCACATTTAATTCTTATAACAATTTTGTGAAGCAGGTAAAAAAAGGCATCCCTTGTTTAGTTGTACCAGTTGTAGTACTGATTCTTCACAACACTTATAAGCAAAAGTATGAGCATTTTTCTTAAAAAATTGTAAGTTATTTTGGTCTTGACCAATATATACCATTTACCATAGCACACATTTCTCTCTTTAAGAGTCATTGACAATCTGCTTTTTTCCCCTCTTTTCCTATTATTTGCATCCTTCTAAACTATTACTTATTTTTTTCTGATTCTGTTTAATTAAAATTTTGATTTTCTTTTAAGGATTAAAAAGTAGAGGGAGAATTAGTATATTGGTTAAAATACAAGCTAACCATCAAAGTTCAAATTTTAATGAGGCCCTAAACCAGGATAGAAGTCAAATGCATAAAGCATGTTCTAGGCCTAGCTTCATCCATTATTAAATCAATTTGAAAAAAATGTGGCAATGATGAAGTTATCAGCCAATAAACCTTGAATAGTATGTTAATTGTATATTGACTGAAGTAACAGATTAGGTGAGGGTTGAATTTTCACAAAGACTGGAATAAAAGACCCTAAATAGGCAGATTAACTTAGACGTTCTTTTCCCCCTGAAACACAAACTTCAGTGTTAAACGGGAAACAAAGGATGAGAGACAGAGGGTAAGATTTGCCTGAGGTTACCCAGCTCGTAAACAGGAGTCCATGCCAAGTCATCTCCCTCCATAGCGCTGGAAAACAGCAACTATTGAATACAAATGCTCTCTTAGCTTTTCTAGTAAATCCTAATATTTTCTCATTACTCAAAGTATAATACTTCCAATTTGAATATAATATTTCCCTTGAGAGGGAGAAAGAGTTACTATAAGGAAATAATTAATTTTGGTCTCTTGTTGTGAGAGAAATTAAAGGGAAAGTTCAGACAACAAGTGTAACAAACACCTCTCTAAAAAAGAAAATGCTGCCCATCTTCCCTGACCCTGTACACAGGCCAGTGGTGACGGCTATAATCACGGAAAGGGGCTTGTGTCTCTTCATCCTCAGCATTTGATGGACTCAAAAGAATGTCTGAAAAATCTGTGGGAGCTGAGGTTCTATTGTTAAGAGATACTGAAACTGGTCTCCTTAACGAAGAGTGTCTCAGCAGAGTATTACACAGACCTCACCTCATCTCTTTTCCAATGTATACTGCAGCTAATTCATGGGGATCGTTGCAGTCTATTGGTCAAAAACATTAAGCACCATCACCACCATAATACAGAGCTCTTAAAAGTGTGTGCATGTCCCAGTGGTGGAACACATTCTTTCTATAGCGTAAATTGTAGTCAGGATACATTCCTAAGTGAGTCTCAAAAGTTAAATATGTAATCAAGTAGGCATTCTGATTTTAATTTTGGCAGGGCATGCTTTGAGATTCCCAGGTGATTTTTTTGCCAGTCATTGCAATTATATACTTAAAAATGCACACACACACACACACACACACACACACACACACACACACACACTTTCTTCATTCACTAAAAGTATACTACACGCCATGGATACAAAGTTAAGAAGGCAAGGACTTGCTATCAAGTCATTGAAACAATTGGAGAATCAGACTTGCAAACATGAAAATACGAGCATTGGATGATCCACAAAGTTGAGTGGCAGATCAGGATAACATGTCTAAATCCGTCCTGGAAAACGTCCCAGAGGAAGAAGAAACATGAATAGGTGTTTTTCAGGTAGACAAAAGGTTTTAAATTGTGTGCTGTGAGTTACAAGATGCTAAAGATCAATAGTAAGAAAGGTAGTAACATCAAGTATCTGTCTTTGAATTCTAGGGCCACAGTGAAATGAGAATTAGGGAAGGCAATTCTTGGAGGTAAGGCAAATGTCTTGCAGTGTGTTGCAGTAGTTAAGGAAGTTCATGGACTTAATCAAGTAACCTCATAGCCCATAAAATGTGGGAGAGGCGCAAGAAGAAGAATAAATAGGATATGGTGTTTAAAAGGTAGGAAAAGAATCAAAGGTTCCCAAACATTTGGCTTGGGAAACTGGGTAGAGGGTCTAAATCTTCATTAGTATAAAGAGTATAAATATCATGTAAAATATCCTGTAATCCTAGCTACTCAGGAGGCTGCGGCAGGAGAACTGTTTGAAACTGGGAGGCAGAGATTGTAGTGAGCCGAGATCGTGCCACTGCACCCCAACCTGGGCAACAGAGCAAGGCTCCGTCTAAAAAAAATAAATAATAAATAAATAAATATAATGCAAAGAATACAGAAAGAAGAATAGGCTTTGTAGAGTAACTGGGAATAGACACCTAAGCAGAGATTAGCGTGTTCAATTCTGGATGTACTGAGTTTGCAATGCCTGTAGGATATCCAAATGAAACTATTTAGAAAATAGTTGGTATGGAAGGGACTAGAGCTTAGGAAAGAGATTTATTTTTGTTTTACTGTACTCTGTTTATTCTTCCTATTTTTTCTTTTTAATTTTAATTTTTGTGAGTACATAGAAGGCGTATATATGGGGTACATAAAATGAAATATTTTGATATAGGTATATGATGCATAATAATCACATCAGGATAAATGGAATATCCATCACCTCAAACATTTATCCTTTGTGTTAAAATTATACTCTTTTAGTTATTTTTAAATGTGCAATTAAATTAGTATTGACTCTGGTCACCCTACTGTGCTATCAAGTACTACATCTTACTCATTCTTCTATTTTTTGTACCCATTAACCATCCCACTCCCTAGCCCCAATCCCCCTCTACCCTTCCCAGCCTCTGTTGAACCATCATTCTGCTCTCTATCTCTACGAGTTCCATTATTTTAATTTTTAGCTCCCACAAATAGGTGAGAACATGTAATGTTTTTCTTTCTGTGCCTGGTTTATTTCACTTAACATAACGATCTCTGGTTCCATCCATGCTGTTGCAAATGAGATTTCATTCCTTTTTCTGGATTGTGTATATGAACCACATTTTCTTTATCTGTTTGTCTGTTGATGGACACTTAGGTTGCTTCTGAATTTTGGCTACTGTGAATAGTGCTGCTATAAATGTGAGAGTGCAGATCTCTCTCCAATATACCGATTTATTTTCTTTTGGGGTATATGCCTAACAATGGGATTGCTGGATCATATGGTAGCTCTATTTTTACTTTTTTGAAGAACTTCCAAACTGTTCTCTGTATTGGTTGTGCTAATTTACATTCTCATCAACAGTATGTAAGGGTTCCCCTTTTTCCATATCCTCATGAGCATTTGTTATTGTCTGACTTTTGGATAAAAGCCATTTTAACTGGAAGGAGATGATAGGTCATTGTAGTTTTGATTTGTTATGGGTTGTCTCTTTACTTTGTTGATTGTATCCTTTGCTGTGCAGAAGCTTTTTAACTTTATGTGATCCTGTTTGTCCATTTTTGCTTTGGTTGCCTGTGCCTGTGAGGTGTTTCTTGATAGATCAATGTCCAGGAGAGTTTCTCCAATGTTTTCGTTCATTAGATTCATAATTTGAGGTCTTAGATTTAAGTCTTTAATTGATTTTGGTTTGATTTTTTTTTAATATGGTGAGACATAGGGTCCAGTTGTATTCTTCTGCATATGGATATCCAGTTTTCCCAGCAACATTTATTGAAGAGACTGTCCTTTCCCCAATGTATGTTCTTGGCACCTTTGTCAAAAAGAAGTTTACTATAGATATATACATTTCTTTCTGAGTTCTCAAGTCTGTTCTACTGATTTATGCGACTGTTTTTATGCCAGTACCATGTTGTTTTGGTTACTATAGCTCTGTTGTATCATGTGAAGTCAGGTAATGTTATTCCTCCAATCTTGTTCTTTTTGCTCAAGATAGCTTTGGCTATTTTGGGTCTTTTGTGGTTTCATATAAATTTTAAGATTGTTTTTTCTGTTTCTGTGAAGAATGTCATTGGTATTTTGATAGGAATTTCATTGAATCAAAAATTATTTGAACAGTATGGACATTTTGACAATACTGATTCTTCTAATTCATGAATATGAAGCATCTTTTCATTTCTTGTATGTCCTCTTCAATTATTTCATCAGTGTTTTATAGTTTTCATTGTAGAGATCTTTCACTTCTTTGATGAAGCTAATTCTTAGGAATTTAATTTTATTTGTAGCTATTGTAAATGGGATTACTTTCTTGGTTTCCTTTTCAGATTGTTTGCTGTTGGTATATAGAAATGTTACTCATTTTTGTATTCTGACTTTGTATACTGCAAGTTTACTGAATTTATCAGCTCTAATATTTCTTCAATGAAATGTTTATGCTTTTGCAAATATAAGATCATATTATCTGCAAACAAAGATAATTTGACTTCTCCTTTAGGATAGAGTTTTAGATGTTAAAAAATGGTAGGGACAAGATCCCCCCAAAAGTGAATAAAGAGGGACAAAAAGACACTGACATTTAAAAGGAGGACAAAGAAACAGAAATGAACCAAGGCACTGGATAAGGAGTGGTCAGTGCAGCAGGAGGTAAGCCAGGTGAGAGAGAAAATAGATAAAGCCAGAGCTCCAAGAATGGAAGAAGAGTCAGATTATTAACAATGCTTATTCCACTGGGTTAGAGGGTGAAGCAAGACTATCTCTGCAGTGATATGGGTTCAAATGGATCAGAGTGAGTGGATGATGTGAAATCATAGATAGTAAATTTAACTTTCACTTTCTAAAAAATATAGTTATCAGAGGAAGAGGTACAAGGGTGTTAAATAAATGGGTCACTTCTCTGTCCCATTGGACATAGAAGTTAAACAGACAAAACCCCTTCTATGTTCAAGGTAGAATAACTTTCATAGCTCCAGTGGATGGGCTTGCCTTTGATAGGAAAATTGTGTTTTGCTAGAAATAAGGACAAAGAAAAAGTCGATGCAGGCGCAGGTGGGCTTATGGGTGAATGGACAGGGAAATGAAAGAAGCCACTCCTGATAGTTGCTAGTCCCTAAATTAGAAGCAAGGTCATCCCAAGAAAGAGAAGATTGAGAGTTTTGAAGAGTGGAGAAGGTTTAGAACAGCAGCTGAGGGAAACAGGAGAAGCACATGTAATAGGACTACTAAGTAACACTGAAGGCACAACTGAGATTAGTTTCACTCCAGATTTATGATCGCCATTCTATATGGTTATGATTTTTCTTTTTCCTTCAGCAGAGCAGTGCTCAAGGAAGGTTTACAGCTAAGGAGGCTCCATGGAGGATTGCCTGAAGGACATGAAGTCCATCCATCTCTCCAGATAGTTTAGATTATATCTCAAGATCAAGGTAAACCATCAAACTAAATACTTGAGCCATATTGTTTTGGCCTCTTTTACTATTACTCACTTTTACTGAATTGCATTTTGGCATGGTGCCTTGGCTGGCATTGAGGGGCCCAACAAGAAACAGCCATAGGCCTCTCAGCCTTTTTAGCATCATGGAGGCTGTTCAAAAGGAAAGGCACCATCCTCAGTATCGTTTATGTTCCATTCGTAAGGGCACGAAGATCCATTTCTCTTAGACCCAAATGCCAGGAAACAATTGGTTTTTTCACGAGTAATGGCAGTGTGTTTGCGTGTTTGTATGGTCTTGAAGCCGGAATGCATGGTTTCAAATTCAGCATCCATCATCTATTAGTTGGTTGATCTTGAGCCTATTAACTTCTCTATGCTTTGATTTCTTCATCTATAAATTAGCAAAAATAACAGTACATGCTCCATAGGAATGCAGTGAGAATCAAATGAAACAATCAGTGTAAAAATGTTTAGCATTATGTCTGGCAAACCATAAGTCCTTAATACATACTGTATTATTATTATTATCTTACAACTGATATTTTTGTTTTATTTTTGTATTTTGCCTTCATCTTCAGTGTGGTGTAGCCTTTGGAATAATTTATCTCTGGTTTCCACTTAGTACACTTCACTTATTTTTCATCTGATATTCACGTAGCATGGTTTGAGAACGAGGCTGAATATGAGAAAGTACACGAAAGTTCTTATGCCAGTCAATAACTATAAAGATTATTCTATCTATCTTTATCTTAGAAATAGTTTCAAAGATAGTAAAATGAACTTTCTTATACCACATTTGTATATAGAAATGAATGTTTCCTTGAAGTCCATTTCACTTGTTATTGACTTTTCTTACAATCGCTCTTGATCAGGCCCCCTACAGGGACTTGGCCCTGACTCAGTATTGGCTCAAATACTTCTCACTGTGAATAAATAACATGTTACTTTAATTGCAGAGAGGGACAGATTATTGTAGCTTGACAAGTAGCTAAATTCTGCTGTGGAATGAGGGCTGGATTTGAGGGTCAAAGGATCTAGGTGTAGATACCAACTCTGACACCAGCTCTTTGCCATTGGAACTCTCACCTCAGTTCTTTTATCTACTAAGTAGGGTTAACAATATTGATCTCACAGTGTGATTCTGAGAAGTAAAGAAGAGATTCAGCAAAAATTAGTTGAATCTGCATCCAGTGCAGGCGGTAGCATGGTAGCATTCAAGCAGTCATTCACACTTGTACTTGAAAAATAGGACCAAATGATTCAGTCTTCTTTTTTTTTTTTTTTTTTTTTTTTTTGAGACACAGTCTTGCTTTGTCACCAGGCACCAGGCTGGAGTGTAGTGGCGAGATCTCAGCTCACTGCAACCTCCACCTCCCTGGTTCAAGCAATTCTCCTGCCTCAGCCTCCCGAGTAGCTGGGACTACAGGCACACGCCACCACGCCCAGGTAATTTCTGTATTTTTAATAGAGACGGGGTTTCACCATGTTGGCCAGGATGGTCTTGATCTCTCGATCTTGTGATCCGCCCGCCTCGGCCTCCCAAAGTGCTAGGCTTACAGGTGTGAGCCACTGTACCTGGCCAATTCAGTCTTCTTAATTATATTTAAAGGCAACTTGAACATACTTATCTTATTGAACTATTTGAAATATGGATACTAGCCATTTCAAAATATCTAGTCAAAAGTCAATAAAAAAGCTTTAATTCTTGTTTAAGAATCTTCAGGAAATTTTGTCTTTGTATCAGATTATCAACTTGGCCTGCAATGTCACAGGAGAAACATGAAAAACATCCCAGATTGTATTCTCTGCTTTTAACTAAATAAATACTTGGAAAAATCCCTGATATACAAATAAGTCTGCTTTGTTTCCTGGCAGACTTATTTTGTTTTGCTTATTGTTATTGTTGCTAGTTTTGTTGCTGCATAGACCAGTAAGCACATGCAGATGAAAGGAGGCTTTTGTTTTGTTTTCACTGAAGGTATGTGGGCACGGGATGTCTTATCCCAGGTATTAATAGCAAAAGGGTTTAGGCCAATTCTTTAAGGAAATGGGAGCACTTACTTTACTAAACCCCTCCCACCTGTCAGGACCAAAGTTGAAAACCAGAGAATGTTGTGTTGGTGGGCCACTCCCCGCCGCCCCACGGAACACCCAGAGAAATCTGTGCTGGATAGCACAAAAAAAGCCCAGCTACAATGGTTGGTCTTCAAAGGGGTTCATTTATTATATTGCTCAGTGCCCCACAGAGTTGCTCCAAGCTCATAACTGCCACTGATTTCAAAGAGAGCTCTGAACTTGCATACGCTCCACAAGGCACGGCGCAGGATGAGAAATAGGCTGAGTGGCTTTAAGCCATGTTCAGACATTTTTTAATGTTCATAAATGTCTTTGGCACCATCACTTTCACATAGAAACCCACTTACCTCCTGCCGCAAAGCGTGAAATAAAGCCATTTTCAAGCCTGGGTCGGGGATGGTCTGGAAATTGGGCTAAATCTTAAAACTGCATGAAGACTGAAAATAGGATTCACAAGCTGGAGCTCAGCTCTCACCAAACCATTTCCAAGGTCAGGTCACCGTGACACTCTGCTCTGTTAGGTACCATCAGTGCTATCCTTGAAGGGTTAAGACAGTGAACCGTGGTCATCTCCATGGCTTTCAAATGAACCAGGAGTTAAACTGAAGGCCAGTAACTCTAAGGCATCAAAAAATAGCTGGTCTACTGAAGGAGGGAAGCACTGTCTCAATTGAGGCCTGATTGGGATTCACCTGACACAGCCCTGGGAAACCTTGAGTTAGGGATTGGCATTTTTTTTTTAATTTTTTATTATTATTATTTTTTTGAGACAGAGTCTTGTTCTATCACCAGGCTGGAGTGCAATGGTGTGATCTCAGCTCACTGCAACCTCCGCTTCCCGGGTTGAAGCAATTCTTCTGCCTCAGCCTCTCGAGTAGCTGGGACTATAGGTACACACCACCACACCCAGCTAATTTTTGTTTTTTTAGTAGATATGGGGTTTCACCATGTTGGCCAGAATGGTCTCGATCTCCTGACCTCGTAATCTGCCCGCCTCGGCCTGCCAAAGGGCTGGGATAACAGGCATGAGCCACTGTGTCCGACTGGGATTGGCATTTCTTACCACACTTTTCTGCTTTAGGAGATGCTGAAGGTTACTCTTGATCCAGGATGTTTATGGGAGATAAGGTCCCATCAGAGGTGCTCTTTCTCCTTGAATGCCTGAAGAAAGATTAACCAACCCCCCCAATTTTGTTCCTGTGGTTCCTGGTCACCAAGACAAGGGAAAAAGAGATACCTTAGATACTCAGCAGTCACTTTGTATGCTCCAGGAAGCTCTCTCATAAGTAATTCTCCAGGGAGCCCCCTGCATGGCTCCATGAGCACCTTGCTTCTGGAAGGGGCACAGAAAAAAAAGTGTCCTATTCATGTTCACTGTCAAATAAACATTAAGTCTTGGATACGTTATATTGGCTCCCATCTTTATTCAAACAGAAAGTTATTTATTTGGGAGAAAATGAGTTAAATAATGATTTCCAGAATTCCATGGATGCGCTCTGGAAAAATAAAACCACACAGTCCCTTCTCTAATGGGCTTTAAGAAAATGTTGTTAAAGCAGTTAACGACTATAAATCCTATTTATTTATTCTTTTAACAGATACTTACTAAGCACCTGCTATGTGTAGATGCATGTCCAGTTGCTGGGATACAGCAGTGAACAGAGCAAAAAAAACCCATCCCTGCTCTCTGAGTTTGTGTCTGACTGAGGGAGACAGATGATAACAAAACAACTAAGAAAACTCCAGAGTGTTTGACAAGTGCTAGGGAGAACATGAGCAGGAGTGGGGGCTCATGTGAGGACAGAGTGAGAGAGGGTGCAATTTGAGACTGGGTGATGTGGTGAGGTATCATTTGAATAAAGGATCCTGAGGGGAATTCAACTTTAAATGCTTGTCTTTTTTCGGTTAGTCCAAATATTAGTAGACAGTAACTGAGGATTACCTCTGGTGTCTTTTTAAAACTTAGAAGGTAAAGCCAGCTTGCCAAAAATGATGAGAAGACACTGCAGCCCTGCTCTCGGGTTCTGGTACCACTTGGCTGTGCAGTGACACAATCATGAAGTTGAGTTCCTTGGAAAAAGGAAGTGTACTTGGTATCGTGCTGTGCACACAGTGAGTGCTCAATAAATGCTGTTTACTTATAGATAAGGTCTGTGGTCTTGGATGTAGATCTAAAAATACTGTTCCTTCCCGCCGGGCATGGTGGCTCACACCTGTAACCCCAGCACTTTGGGAGGCCGAGGCAAGTAGATCATGAAGTCAAGAGATTGAGACCATCCTGGCCAACGTGGTAAAACCCCATCTCTATTAAAAATACAAAAAAATTAGCTGGGCGTGGTAGTGCATGCCTGTAGGCCCAGCTACTCAGGAGGCTGAGGCAGGAGAATCACTTGAACCCAGGAGGCAGAGGTTGCAGTGAGCCAAGATTGCGCCACTGCACTCCAGCTTGGCAACAGAGTGAGACTCCGTCTCAAAAAAGAAAATGTTCTTGACAAAAATAATTTCTCTGTGTTCTTATATCTATCTCAGGGAGATAGAGTATACCAGCAGTCCTAACCTTTTTGGCACCAGGGACCAACCAGTTTTGTGGAAGACAGTTTTTCCATGGACCAGGTTGGCAGGCTGGGGATGGTTTCAGGATGAAACTATTCTACCTCAGATCATCCAGCAGTAGTTAGATTCTCATAAGGAATGCACAGCCTAGATCCCTCACATGTGCAGTTGACAATAGGGTTTGCACTGCTACAGGAATCTAATGCTGCTGCTGATCCTACAGGAGGTGGCACTCAGGTGATAATGCTCGTTCACCTACAGCTCACCTCCTGCTTGTGGCCTCGTTCCTAACAGGCCACCAACCAGTACCGGTTCATGGCCTGGGAATTGGGGACCCCTGAAATAGTTGAATCTGCAGATAGTTTCTGGAAATTTATCAAGCCATATCTATTCATAATACCATCCCTAAATTCCCCCATCATCAATGTAAATATCTTAAACTAATCTTACCATTGTCCTCATATATTCAATGTAATATGACAATGGTCTGCCTTCATTTTTTCTGTGACATCCCCTTTTCTCTAAGAGGAGACATCCACCTGTACTATAAAACAGAATGTATTTTCATCCTTTTGCCCTTCCTTCCTCCTTCCCTTTATCCCTCCTTTTCTTCTTTCCAATACATATATATGCTGTGCAAAGCATGGTATATTCCATAGGCCCTATCTTAACTACACTAAAAAAATTAATTATTGAACAGGTACTGCTAGAAGCACTGATTGTTGAAAGTGACTCAAGGTGAAGGGAGGATGTATTATTTCCTTCTGTCTTTTGTCACCATTGTTGAGATGGCAGCTACTACCCATCATATTTGCTAAAGGGAAAAGTGATTACAAAACTCCTCCTGGTTTTAAGGGTGAAGTTAAGTAACTGAAATAAAATAAAATAAATTAATTGTTGAACAGGTACTGCTAGAAGCACTGAGAAGAAGAATGAAAAGATGTGAAAGTCAGTAGTGTTACATATTAGAGAAAATACATATTAAAGCCAATATGTAACACCACTGACTTTCACATCCTTTCATTCTAAATCGAATACCGTATGTGAATACTGCTGCTATTAATGACATTCCCTTCTACCTGTTGTACCCAAGAGTCTACAAGTCCTTCTTACGTGCATAATATCTCATACAATCCTCTAAATCCTGGCTTCTCAAATGTAGTCCTCAAACCAGCAGCACTGGCATCTCCTGGGAGTTATTGGCGATGCAGAATCTCAGGCTCCACTGCAAGCTTCCTGAACCAGACTGCATTGCAACGAGGTCTTCGGGTTCTTTGTGCATGCACTGAAGTTTGAGAATCTCTGCTTCAAATCATCTTGCGAGGCAATAAAAAATTCCCTTTCACATTTTACAGATTAAACACACACCCAAAAAACTCAATTTCAGAGACGTTCAGTTAGCAAATAGGTAACAGGATGTGGAGTCAAAAGCCAATATTCTTTCCAGTACACTGTGCTCCCTCTTTGGGTGCTCTTGGGAAAAAAGTACCACATACCTCTTTTGGGGTCTGACATCACCGAGGCCAGTATTTCATAAGGAGCATTTACGCAATAATTACAGCCTGCTGTTGTCCTCTGGTGGTAAGCAGGCAAGTGCTTAATCTCTTGCTGGATCATGCATTTCTTATATAGGCGATTCTTGCCACCTGTTGCCTAAAAGGCCTCAGGTGAATTACATGAAACAAGTTTCATATTTAGAATGTTCTCCAATTTTCTATAATCACTTACCAAAAAACATTTTCACTGGTTAACAGTTTTTGAGGTTTCTACTGCAGGTTTTCTTTCCTTAGGAGACTTTTAAGTGATACATCTGACCACCTTAAAATGAAAGGGAAAGGCAACTAATGTGTAGCAAACATTTCCTTGTGTACCAAGTTTGGTGCTTTGTATGTGTTATCTCTTGGTCTTTACAGAGAGTTATCCATTTTACAGATGTGGAAGCCGGGATTCAAAGATGACACAGGTGGCAGTGCTGGCCATCAAGCTAAAGCGTCATACCATGCTGGCCTCTTCCTAAAAGTAAGTCTTGCCTGAATTAGCATGAAAAGTGACTCAAGGTCACTTTTCATTATGGAAAGTGACTCAAGGTGAAGGGAGGATATATCATTTCCTTCTGTCTTTTGTCGCCGTTGTTGAGATGGCAGCTACTGCCCTTCATATTTGCTAAAGGGAAAAAGTGATTACCAAACTCTTCCTGGTTTTAAGGGTGAAGTTAAGTAACTGGAATAATATAAAAACCGAGAGGAATCAACTAGAAGAATACACACTGAGTATGCAGAGCCAAAAAGGAGTAATCAGCAGAGGAATGTTGCTGGGTAATATACTTTGAAAATTCCATATCAACACCCTATACTTTGGCTGAAATCCAAACATATAATCTAAGCAAGGCCCTCTAAACCAGTGAGTTTTAAATTCCTTATGTTTAACAGAGAAGCAGCTGGAGGCCGTCCTATTCTTTAAGAAAGAGGAGGAATGAATAGATTCCTCAGGCTGATAGAGCTGAGAAAGGCATCTCCGAGGCTCTTGCATCACCTGTGTTAATATGCAGGTCCTCAGAACTGCAGCTTTCTCAACTCGGTCCTATCTTATGCGCATTATCCTGGAATGTTCTCCTCTGTTGCTCTCTGGGAATCTGCAGACAGTTCATGTGGAAGTCTCTCTCCTCGTCTGAAGGAATTAAATAGAATATTATAATTACTCAGAGTTTAATATATGCTACAACTGTTTTTGCTGGCTTGGCGTTTAAAGATGCAAATGTTCCAATCTCCTAGAAACATGACATTATAAAAGGGACTACCGTAATTAGGAATAAAACTGTTCAGTCCTCATTAACCAGAAAAGCAGTTTCTAAACCCAGGGAGGCTCTACTTTTATTCCAAGAAAAGTCAGGAAGATGGTGCCACAAGAGCCTAATAAAGATTTTGGGTCAACTTGTGCTCACTGCAATTGATTAGGATCCATGTGAAATGATTTTTAAAAGGAAATGAACAACAAATGCTTCTGACAGAAGAAAAGTAATCAGGGAAAAGCCTGAAGAATCATCTTAAGCACACTCTTGTTTAAAGTTTCACTATCATTTTATTCTTGATTGCCCAAATTCATTCAGCCTTAATGCATTGTTAAAGAGCCTGTCCTATTAGCCAAGGATGTTATGGTAACTGGTTGTAAGACTACTGCTCTCCTGGTTACAACACGTGACTAGAAAAATGCTTTCTTAATTAAGGCTGAGAGTGATGAGTCCCTGGTGACTCAAAGTAGTTAAGGAGTGTGTATAAAACTGAGCACAGGCTAGTCTCGAAGATGATGGCAGGCTTTACTTTGGTTCTTTGAACTCCTCATCCATTCCTGTCCTGCCAGAACTGTCTACACTGATGCCTCACTGTGGCATTAGTCACGGTAAGAGCCAAACGTGTTGTAAGCCTGTGCCTTTTTATACCTGTCGAAGGGGATTTGGTCACTGAAATCACAAGTGAACCATGTTATAAGGTGTTTAACTGTGAGGCAGTCTCCCACATAGAAGGAAGACAGGAACATTTGGAAGGAATGTGATTTGTTTATGTTTTCTCATAGGTACTTGCGACGTGTCTGCTTCTGAGAAAAGCAACATCCATAGATTTCAGATAGATAGCATATTATCTAGCCCTCATTTTTTCTTTTAGCTGAAGTTCTTATCACCTGTGTTTCAAAACCTAATTAAGCGATGGTTCATTCATAGCAGGACACTGGACAGGAACTAGGCTCTAGTCTCTTCTTTGTCACTAACCAATTCTGTGGATCTCGGCAAATTAGCTCTCCAGTAGAACGTTGTTGCTTTGTCTTGTAATATTAGCAGCTCTATTTATTAAACACTTTCTCTGCAGTAGCACTTTAACTAGATTGTTTCATTTAAACCTCATCATAACCCAATGGGCAGGTTCTATTTTAACCTCCATTCTGCAGATGAAGGAGTTGAGGCATAGAAACCTGAATAGTTTGTCCAAAGTGACACAACTTGGATGTGAAGGGGTCAGGATTTGGTTTCGTTTCTGCTGGTGTGCTGAACCTACAGGCTATGTGTTTCTCTTATTGCCAGACTACCCCACCCAAGAATTTATGGAGCAGGGAGATTTTCCCACTCCACATATTCTTAAATGTACTTAGAAATGAGTTGGCTTAACTCATGTAACATGTCTATGCTGCTATATGTAATTTGATTTTTTAATTTTTTAAATTTTTTCTTCTTGTTTTCCCAACCAGAGTAAAATGTCCCGATGAGTTAGTGGAAAGACTACTTCCTATAGGATAATGAATGAGTTATCTGCCCTTTATAAATTCTTTCCTTTATAAATAGAGATAATAATGCCTGGCTTATACTTTTTTGATGTTTTAAGTACAAAATGGCTATAAGATGGATAGTGGCACTATAAAAAGATAATTTGTTTATAGTATTTTAAAATATTGGCTCTCTCGGGAAAGGCTCCTTCTTCCACAGTGTATCTGCCGGGTCATGTCATGTTGTGAGATGCTAAAGTAGAGGTGTTGATCATACTTTGTGGTTTTTCCATTTAGAAAAGAATTCTTAAACACATTCTTATTTATCTTTGCACTATTAATTAATGTAACAGGAAGAACAGTTTAATGGTGAATGTGAAACCTTTATTGAGTACCTAAATTTGCTCTAGATGTTAGCTCATTGAATTCTCACCATTGCTCTATGAGAAAAATGTGAGAAAACTGAGACTCAGAGATGTTAGGTAACTTCCATAGGACATACAGTTTTCTGTTGAGAGCTGGTAGGGAGACAGAGGTTTAGCTCTCTCTAGAAACCAGAGCTTCCGCCATGTCATACTGAATACAGAAACATTCTTTAAGATTTTTGTGCATAAATATACATACAGATGTATGTATATTGTTCATGTACCATTTTATTAAAATATCCAACTGAACAGCCAACATTTTCATAATAAATATTATGGTGATAGAACATTATGGCTTAAAATCCTGAAAGTACCCACTGGAAAAGACCTTAAAATCAGGAAGCTCAACAAGTGATTCATTGCTTTTCCAGCTGCTGCCTGGACATTGCCTGCAATGTGGAACTCACTGTCTCAAGGGCAAACAGTTTCACGTTTTACTCGTAGAAAGTATTACCATTAGACTATCCATCAGGCATCTCAAATTTAACGCGTTCAAAACTTAATCCATAAAGTTGTTCCATAATTTTGTTTAAAGTTAATTGAGGAGCTGGGCTTACCAGAGAAGAGCAGGCACTAATGAGGATAACATTATTCCATCAATAATTAACGACAGATTATATTTTAAGATTTTTTTTTAATTACTGAGGCCAAAGAAAGAGGTCAGTAGGAACTGTTGCCTTATATCCTTGAAATTTACCAAAATTACCTTGTTAGAGCTTAATGCTCCATTTATGTTAGAAGACAATTGCGTCAGTCAGAGTTCCAAGCAAAAAGCAGCCGGTACTTTCAAAAGGGTTTTGAGGCATGTTAATGAAAGGACGTTTACAAAGGTATGGGCATAGTTCAAGGAAATCAACAGAGTAGATCTTCACCACTGCAAGCATTTCAGGGACAGCAATTGTGGAGGACCATTAGCAGCTATAGGCATGAGAGAGTGAGGAAGGAGCAAGTTTCAGCAGAACCCAGGGCAAGTGACGATACAAGACCCCCAGCAAAGACCTGGAACCAACCCAAATATCCATCATCGATAGACTGGATAAAGAAAATGTGGCACATATACACCATGGAATACTATGCAGCCATAAAAAATGATGAGTTTGTGTCCTTCATAGGGACATGGATGAATCTGGAAACCATCATTCTCAGCAAACTGACACAAGAACAGAAAACCAAACACCATATGGTATCACTCTTAGGCGGGTGTTGAACAATTAGAACACATGGACACAGGGAGTGAAGCATCACATACTGCAGTCAGTAGGGGGGGACTAGGGGAGGGACAACAGGAGTGGGGAGGGTGGGGAGGAATAATGAGGGGAGAAATACCAGATATAGGTGATGGGGGGATGAAGGCAGCAAACCACCTTGCCATGTATGTACCTACGCAACAATCCTGTACGATCTGCATATGTACCCCAGAACCTAAAGTACAATTAAAAAAAAAATGGCATCCCCTCCCCTGCCTCCAGAAAAACTGTGGCCTTGGGTGGAGGCATGCCGCCTGGAAGCTCAATCAGGAGAACAGATACCCTGACCCCCCTGTCTTCACTGCCCGCAGAGCTCCTGATGGTGGCTGAGTTCTCGCTCCTACTAATTGGAACACAGAGGACAAGATTGCTTACTAACACAGCCCAGGACACAATATTCCACGTCACCCCATACATTAACCCGGTCTTTTTTCTTCCTGCTTCTCTCTGAACACCTATCGGTACCATACTCTCCCATTTCTGCCTCCTAAATCAGCAGTAGGAAGGCCAGCTAGTTTCAAAGTAGCCTTAGACCATGAAGGGAAATAATAATCCTATAGCTCTATAAGATTTTGCCATGCAACAATGTTAGCACGTATCTCTTGGATTGTACAAATTAATTCTAAAAGATATTTTATGACCTTTCTTCCATATTTTTGTATCATAATTAGCAGACCAAACTGGCTGATAGGCATGTATAAATTTTATACACATAGCAATGCATATTTAGAGATTATTTAGTGTTCACACATCAAACTTTTTTGTCTTTTGCTCTGATTCCTTTCTGAGACTTATCTAACTGTTCTTTGTTAAAGGCTTTATTAAGCTTTAAACACTGGTAATATAAGTTCTAATCTCGGAATTACGTCTAATTGCTTTATCCCTATCCCCAATATCTTCCAAGACTTGCCTTTTGGAAATTATGTCTTAACTAAATTTTCTGAGACTAAAATTTTCTGAGCAAGTAGTCTCAGAACCAGATTTTCCAATGGGATCTGCTTATGTCATCGAAGATAGGAGGTCTGATAAATAGAATTTATATCAGACAAGCCAGGTACATTGTGAGAAAAAAGGACATCCTTCCTTTTGTCGTAGAACCCTTGAGATGGAGTTGACACAACTTGAAAGACAAGTTCAAATAAACTTTTGCACCCATTTTTCTTGAATGTTGATGTGACAGTCTATTCATAGGTGTTTTGAGCTTGAGATACTTTTTAAAATTCATTTAAATCACATGTTGGTTTTCCCCACTGTGCACATGGCAATAGATCTGACAGTGGAAAATCAGTCAAAACCGACACACCTTGGTGATGAGAATGACAGATTTTTATGCACATGAGCAGAATGAGGGCAATGTTTTGTCTTAAAAGGTAGCTAAGACATCAGCAAGTTAGGCAGTGAGGCCTTCAGAGTTCCATAATTCTCTAACATGTGTTTATTTTTTACCCCTTGATGTTAGTAGTGTGGCAAGTAGACTGAGAAATAGGCCTTTTGAAGTCAGATACTTATTTGTTCATGTAGTTTATTGAGCCTCTCTCTTCTTTTGAGGCAAACATGGCAACAGAGGTGAGGCATGAAATAGGGAATAAAACATCATCCTTCTCCTTAAAGAACTGGTAGTTTAGATGGGTGACAGTGTCACATCAAAATGAAAACTTCTGGCAGCAGAATGTTGTCTGTTCCAATGGCATCTTTTCATTTGTTCAGTGCCATAGCCACTAAGTAGGCAAGGACCCATGAGACAGTAGGTGAGAAGATATGGGTTTGTACATGTGCCATGGGCTTAATAAATCATGCCTATTGTCATGACCAATTGGTCCTGTCTATTACATGCATCCCATTCTCCCATCCTAATGACACTGTATGGTCCAGATCCTCATTAGTTCTCATGTTGAGCAGTTGCAACCACCCAGTTTCCTGGTTTAATATTCAAGATTATCTTTTCTTTACTCTTCTTAAATCTATTCTTTGCCACCCCTGGAATGAACTTTGTAAAATGTGAATCTGGTAGTCCCATTTCCCTTCTTAAATGGCTTTACAGTTTCCCATGTCCACCAAGATATGGTCCAAACTTGCCAATGAGCTCCATGATGATCTGATTCCTGTAGACCTCTCCAAAACCTTCCCATGGCCTTTCCATGGATCCTGCCATAGTGACCTAAGGGTTCACCAAACTCAACTTCTGCTTCATGCTTTAATGCCTCCATGTCTCCGTGCATGGTGTTGGTCTGCCTGGCCAGTCTTCTCTTTTTTAACTCTGCTCCTGTTCTAGAGGTCTAGTGCAATTTTCCCCATCTCTATCACCATCAAACACCATCATCTATTCCCTGGATGACCGCAAAAGCTTCCTAACTTCTGCTTCACTCCACATCTACTCTTGCCCCTTCCAGTCCATTCTTGACTGCCAGGATGAAGAAAACCATGATCCACCCCTACTCCTATTACCCATAGGAAAAAGAACAGTATCCTTATCAGGACCTATGTAGGGGGTCCTACCAGGCCCTGCTTGTCTCTCCAGCCTCATCTCCTCTTTATGCAGCTCTTCTTTCATGTCTTTGAATGCCCTTGAATGTCATGTTTCCTCTGCCATGGGCTTTGTACATTCTGGCCTCTCTTCTTACGTTGCTTACCCATCTGTCCTACCCATTCCACAGATCTCAGTTCAAAAACTGCTCCGAGAAGGAAGCCTTCTCTGAACCTTAGTCTAGATTAAGTTTCTTTATTCTGCACATTCATAGAAAAGTGTTTCTTTACTTCATAGGATTCACCTCAGTCTGCAGTTGGTTGATGACTTGGTTAGTGTCTATTTCCCTCTCACAAGCATGTGTCATGAGAGATGGGCCGCATCTGTTTTTGTCCATTACTGAATTCCTAGCCTAGCAAAGTGCTAGTCACAAAAGGGGCACTCAAAAAAAATTTAATCAGTGGATCAATTAATCCGTCCACTAAGCCTCTTGCTCAGTTGCTTCATTTGAAAAGCCTTGACACCATCATCAGTGCTATCATCTTATATACCTCTTTGGAAAAATGTCTGTTCAATATCTTTGCCTATTTTTTAAGTGGGTTGTTTATCTTTTTGTTGTTGAGTAGTAAGAGTTCTTTTATATTCTGGATACCAGACTCTTACCAGATATGTGATTTGCAAATATTGTCTCCTATTCTGTGGACTGTCTTTTCACTTTCTTGATAGTGTCCTTTGAAGTATAAAAATGTTTAATTTTGATGAAGTTCCATTTATTCCTTTATTGTTTGTTGTTTATGCTTTTTGTGTCATATCTAAGAAACCATTGCCAAATTCAAGATCATGACAATTTACCCCTATGTTTTTGATCCACAAAGTTCTTTTGACTTTTAAAATTCTATAAGATAAGTCATTATTGGTCACCTATTACACACAAAGAACTATTGGGATTTCAGAGGAAACTGGATATTGGAGACTCAAGAATCAGAATGGACAAGGCATCATTTTAGTGTTAGAATTAAGTCCCAAGATTGAAATTTCAGAAGTGCCAGAATGTGATTGACTTATGTAGACAAAAATTTGGGATAGAAGTCTTTAAATATAGATACCAAGATAACTTAAAAGACCTGAGACCTCTAATTAAAGCAGTTTAAGCAAAATTGCAAAATACATAAAGGCAAATAATAAGCTCTGAAGAAAACTGGAAAAAAAATCTGACAAATTCCAAGTCTTGCTTGAACTAAAGAACACAATGCTATTTGTGTAGAGGGAAAATGTTAACAAATGCTGCATACAGTATGGACTACATATATACAAATGCATCCTAGATAGTGCAGGAAAAGGAAAAAACTTAGTTTCTAATTTAGCTCTAAGCAAGATAAGAGAAAGACTTGCCTGATACATAGTAAATGCTAAGTAAAGAGTTTGTTGGATGTAAAATAAAATTCCTGAAAGAATAATGGAATATACTTATGCAGAGTAAATGCTCAATAATGTATTTGTTGGCCGGGCGCGGTGGCTCAAGCCTGTAATCCCAGCACTTTGGGAGGCCGAGGCGGGTGGATCACGAGGTCAAGAGATCGAGACCATCCTGGTCAACATGGTGAAACCCTGTCTCTACTAAAAATACAAAAAATTAGCTGGGCATGGTGGTGCGTGCCTGTAATCCCAGCTACTCAGGAGGCTGAGGCAGGAGAATTGCCCGAACCCAGGAGGCGGAGGTTGCGGTGAGCCGAGATCGCGCCATTGCACTCCAGCCTGGGTAACATGAGTGAAACTCCGTCTCAAAAAAATAAATAAATAAATAAATAAATAAATAAAATGTATTTGTTGAATAAAAAATAAAACTCAGAAAATAAGTGAATTTGATGTGACCACTATAAATGCTCCTCCATTGAGAAGTGACATTTCAAAGTAAATTGTTAATCAAGAAGAAGTAAATAACCACATTTCAGAGAGTAGCATCTCTGAAAACAAACAAAAAGAAAAGAAGGAAGAAAGCAAGCAAGTCAGCTAACCTACTTACGAGTCCATAGGTACGATACTAGGCAAAAAAAAACAAAAAAAACTGTTTTGCAAAAGATAAATTACTCAGACCACAGGGACATAGCCATTTACTATAGATGGAGGAAAAAACAAAATCATAGTAATAGTCTAGTGTTATTCTTATGTAGATATGTTAAGTTAGAATAAACATACTGCTTCCTCCTCTCTTCTTTCTCTCCTGTCCTCTCCTATGGGCTCCTCTCTACACCTTTCCGATTTCCCTTTTGTATTCTGAAGAATCTTTTAGCAGGAACAGAACAAGGATACAGATATGGGAGTGATATTGTTTATT